AGATATTAAATAATGTATATGTTGAAAGAGAACAATTCCGTATTTGCTTAACATATGCTATTACTATCCACAAATCACAAGGCCTTAGTTTTGGCAGTCCTCTTCTCAACATAGGCTCCTCTATATTTAATAAAGGGCAGGTTTACGTTGGACTCTCCAGAGTTAAAACCTTAGATGGAGTACGTCTTAACAATTTAGATCCAAGTCACGAGAGCTCTATTGTAGAGTACAACCATCTGTGGACGTTATACCGCCCCGATTTGCCCAAAAATTCCTGATACTGAATTGGCATTGCACTTGAACATTTAAAAGTTACAAGAAAATATAGAAAATAACACAAAAAAAAAGACAATTATACCCCGTAAATATACGAAAATACAGTAATTTATCAAAAATAATTTGGTATTAATTTAGTTATAAATAAGTACCTCGTATAATTTATGTACAAAAAGTAATGATATCCCATCAAAAACATAAATGTGAAATGATAGCCGAGTTTAATATTATGATATATGCCTTGATTGTTGACTTTTACGACAAAAGAGATGAGATCTAAATGGGTGCCAAGTTCAATGGTCTGTCCTGAAATGTATTTATAACAATATAAATTATCATTTCTTCTTATAACTTTGGATAATATACTGTAGCCTAAGGTCTAACTTGGCTAGTTTTCATATACGAAATATACTGTAGCCTTCGCAAGTTCTAAACATGTTACTTGTCGGTTCCTATTTTAATATTAGTAGTAACTAGCAATCGAAAGTAATAATTGGTATATGAGAACTGGCCAAGTTAGACCTTAGGCTACAGTATATTATCCTAAGTTATAAGAAGAAATGATATTTTATATTGTTATAAATACATTTCAGGACAGACCATTGAACTTGGCACCCATTTAGATCTCATCTCTTTTGTCGTATTTCTTTATCCAGTATTACTTACTACAAATAAGGCATATAATAAATTTCTACGCATATCGTGTATGTTCATGTATACATTACACACACACACACACACACACATATATATATACATACTTCCTACAAATTATGAAGGAAAGGGTTGGTGTACAATAAATGAAATGGTAATATCTCAATAAAACTTTATTTTGATGCTTGAACATTTTCAAATAAATACATAATATAGAGATCTATAAAACATAAATGTCATACTGGATAACTTAAGTCACGCCACTAAGATTTTTTATTGGCTAATTCATTAACTAATAAGCACACACTATCAGGTAGAGGTAGTAATAATTTGTGGGTGGCATCCTCTAGCGTTATAAGTTTGTAGGTAATAAAGACTGAAAACTATTTTGTGGCAACATTCCCTTCTATTGGAATAGGTACAATAACAACGCGAATCAAGTGATTTAAAATATGACCATTACTGATGGTTAACTAACCGCTGGACACAACAGTAAAAAGACGGTATGCATGCATAGCTTGCATATACAATATTATACAATCATTTGCGTGTATGTTAATCATCATCACACTGTCAAATATTTATTACTAGCAGATTAAATAAATAATCAGGAGCGTAAGGTTAGTACTTTAAGAGGAATGTCATTGCTATCATTGCTTCGAAAACCATAAAGTTGTTAAACTTAGACTATTATTTACTAGATCTATTGTGTAATTATGCAACAAAAGTTTGGTACTTTTTGGCCATTTTCATGAGTTTACCCCTGGTGAGGTGGATATAGGTATCGTTTTTTTCTAATGTATTTTTATTAAATAATAAATAACTCCGGCCGTTACGGTATGCTATAGCATTGCGTGACCCCAAACTTAACAGATCCTTTTATACTAGTCAGCTGAAACAGATAAATAAATACTCTTTTCAATATTATTAGATTTTATTTAAATGGGCTAGCAACAATTTAATTTTTTTGGAGGTAATGATCAGCCATCCCTGTCAGACTAAAGCTTAGTCAAGGCATATATTGGATGCTAAAATTGCGATGTCGATACTTGTGGCTATCGATAAGCCCTCGCATAGCGGTCAGTCGTATGTGGGTATAACAAGGACGGGATGCTTAAATACTGTACCTATAAATAAAAAAGTAGGTATACATTCTAAGGTAAGCAAATCCTTATAGGTATCCTTAAACATAAATTTGTATTTGCACCTTTAAATTTTAATCTGGAATTTCCAGTGTCAAATGTAAACCTCAAAAATGCCTAAAATATGTGAGGCAGTAATTTAACCTTGCAATTGAAACACCAACAATAAAATTGGTAATAGGGTTGTTGAATATCAAACTTTGGTGATGAAATACTGCTTTTTTACACTGAGTATTAAAAACTTCATTAATCTCACATATTAAAAAAAAAACTTTCAGTGCAAAAGATCATTCTCGAAAATAAACATTCATATGCCTAATTTAATACTTTCATTAATACTTAACTGATTTTAAAAATCAAAATCAACCTGTATTGTTTTATATATGACTAATACTAATAACAATAATATCCTATAGTTGATTGAATCAATCTACAAGCTATCTATTGGGTTTGCCATTTAATTGATTAGAAGTATTAATGGGTACTCGAAAAAAGGCATTTTTTTTAAGTTTCCGCAGTTAGAAGTAGGCACCTCCATGAAATACTTTTCCATTTTATTCAAAAGAATATCTGTTGTATCGGTACCAATATTATACTCGTTAATTGCTCGATATATCGCCTGAAAAAAAAAAATTACCTTAGGTTGAAAATGAAGATTACCTGTTTATTAGATAGATTAGCTGTTTAACACTTTATGAACATATATTTTTACCTAGAGTCAAACTCAATTGTATATATCGTATAATACCTACATTAGCTGACCCGCGCGACTTCGTCTGCATCACACTTATCATTATATATCGCTCAATTTACATAATTTAAATTATAGCCTGTGTTATTCTGATGTATAAGCTATGTTACTATAAATTTTCATTAAAATCCGTTCAATACTTTTTGCGTGAAAGAGTACAAACACCCATCCATACTCACAAACTTTCGCATTTATAATATTAATAAGATACATATTATATAACCTTAGCATATATACAGGGTTAACTCTAATACCGAACCTGAAATGAAACGTATGGTATGACATACAAAGATTACAATTACTATGATTATTTTATGCGTAAAGGGTATAGATAAATTTAAGTACCTTCCTAATTGTTGTATAAAATACTGCTATGTAGAAACTAGCATGAGACAAAAACAGGAACGAACCTTAATGATTGCAAAAATTATAAATTACCAATGCACAAAATTTATTTTGTACATTCCGAAGATATTGCTTACCTCAAAGGCAGGTTGTTTATGACTGTGAAACGCTTTACGGCTTCCGTGGAGGAGGAAGATTCCTCTTTTGGTGGCGTCCAAGCAGGCGTCGCCGTACATACACTGGTCGGAGCGGTAGTTGTACCGACATGGTAGTACGAACACCGCGCGCTCGTGATAATGGAATATTATATTTATGATGTCCTGTGATGACAAAATGTTACCAAAATATAACATACACATGTAATTTATGTTGTTTACCCAAATAACATTAAGAAATGCACATAAGCAGTAAAGGACGTTAGTAAAACAATTAAAATTGTTCCGGTTTTGCGGCCAACAAATGACCTTCATAGCGCTTATTTATAATACTATTTTTTATTGCAATTTTTTCCATTAGGTGTTTTCTCTTGAACTTATATTTTAACCACGCGTTCCGCGGTCTTAATGTGATACATATTTCAAATCACAATTTCCATCTGCATATGTTTCACTATGTCCTGTTTGATGCTGTCATTTTTTTTTTTTGATCCTACTTAAACTATGCAGAACAATTACTTATTTTTATTACGTGTTTCTATACATATTTTTTATTTATTATTCTACCTATACACGTATTTTCCTGTAATTTCAATGCTCATTATATAATAGTTGCAACGCTATGTAACATTATTGTTTCTATGATGGATGTAATTATTTTATGTAATTTAATTCTCGCGTTTCCATGTCTGTATTTAGTTGAGTCGTCTACCTATTGATTGGCATAATAAGAGACTATCAAAGCAAGAAAACTTCTTGTCCCACCAATCAACTATATTTATGTAGTATAAGAAGTCTAGTCTAGACGTCTGATAAACAATCCCAACTAGTACAACCACAGAAAATAAAGTAGTGTACATCGGTGGTGGATGATAATAAATACTCTAGCAAAATCAATGCTGCTTTAAGATTGTTGTATATTAACATTTTAAATATACAATGTCATCTGAACACATTTTGAGGTTGCGTTAGTTACATGTTATATATGTATATATATATATATACTATTTAGGTATTATCACAAACCTACATATGGTAGTTAAAATTTACTTAGTGGAAAATTTGTACAATTAATTCACAATTATTATTTATTTGATTTTGTTTTCCGGATATTATTATCTGTATGTTTTACATTAGTTTTATTATATTATATGTAATTACATATTATTGATTCAAATTATCGTATATATAAAAAAAAAATAACTAAAATTAATAAAATTCATACCGATGAAGAGTAGCCCTACCGATCAGGTAGTCTTATTGTCCTGCCAAAACGAGTAACATAAGGTTCATTTTCGTTAGACAGAATATCATTGCTGCGTGACGTTGTGTTAGAATGTTGTACAGAACCTTCAATACTGGGGGGAAGGGGATTGTTAGTAATGTGGACTAATGATCCCATTGCTAGCAATGTAATGTACTATGTCAGATCGACCTCCACGCGGTTCCCCCTGGAAACCATCGTGATACATTCCCGGTGAATTTGTCACGTTGGGCTAACTGATCTGACTTCATGTTCATCCTATCATCCTCCACTGGTGCCCCGCCAGCGTAAACCGTTAGCGCAGGCGAGAGCACCATTCCATTATCATCGTTTAAAAAAAAAAACCTTCATTACTGAGTGTGGTACATTTGGTGGTGACGTCATCGTATGGCAGATGCAATTGTTCATCACAGTCAGCTGACTGTTGCGATGACATCGATAATTAAATGTCGGCGATTTCTAATTAATGTACCGCCATGTTTTAGTTTCACTTGATATGAACGTTTCCCTACCAAGGACTCAACGACACCGCTGCTCCAAGTTTTATCTATTCTAACTTTAATATTTTGTCCCGGTACCAATGGTAATAAATCTCTCGCACCTTTATCGTAACGTTTACGTTGTGCGCTTTGTCGAATACTTAGTTCTCTTTTTACATGCTTTTGAATTTTTGGTTTTAATAATTTTGGACAACATGGAATTATGCTTCTTAAATGTCTGTTATTTAGCAGTTCCGTGGGTGAAGCTAAGTTGGAACTAACAGGAGTATTTAAGTATTCCAAAAGAGCAAGTCTAAATTCAGTTTTATCATGCTGTGTCTTTTTTAACATCTTTTTTACTATTTGTACAGCTCTTTCACTTTGACCGTTCGACTGTGGGTAACAAGGTGATGACGTTATGTGACTAAAACACCACTGCCGTGCAAATATTTGAAATGCGTGAGAGTTATACTCTGGACCATTATCTGACATGACAATATCCGGAATACCTTGTCTAGAGAACACAATTTTTAATTGTTTGATTACCTCATCCGAAGTTGAATTTTGTAATTGAATTACTTCTATGTATTTACTGTAGTAGTCTATTATTATTAAATATATGTTACCTTTCAAATGAAAGATATCGGTCCCTATCTTGGACCATGCCCTATTTGGTATATCGTGTGGGATCATCGTTTCTTTAGAATTTTGGTTCTTATACGTTAGACAGGCCTGGCATTTGCCAATATAATCCTCTAATTGACTATTTAAGTTTGGCCAGAACATTGTGTCACGTGCCCTAAGCTTACATTTATCTAACCCTAAATGACCAACGTGTATTTTCAAAAGCATTTCACTACGCATATTTTTTGGAATTACTACACGATTTCCTTTCCATACTAGACCATGCGAACTCGATAATTCTTGTCTGTTCAAAATCTACCCTGTATCATCGTAAGCACAGATTATTATATTAGAGTCCGTTAGTTTGTGTTCCCGCGGTTTCTGTTCCCCTCCCTTACCCAGTACTGAACTGACCGTACAGCGGCCTTGACGCGCGCGCGCATTGTGTTGTGAATTAAAATAAATTAGAACTGTGTTAAACCTACTGTGAAACTGGAAAGCTAGCGAAGATATCTTCGAGACCCTGAAGCCCAAGAAATCCGCAGAACCATACAGGTACGTGACAGACGTTTCCACACATATTTTTCCCTATATATATACATAGTAAATTCCCTAACATTTTGGTAGCAGAGCGTAGTTTGGAAACCTCTGATTACATTTGATCTGGCCTGTTCCGTACCCGGAACTGTTTATTCCAAATAAATCTGTGCTTAGTTTGCCTTAAATTAAATTAATACTATTACATTACTCGTCTTGACCTTTGACCTTTACCTATAACTTGAAATCGTATTTAACATCGTAAATTAAAAGTACTATTTGCGTATATAACCCTAGTATTTTGTTGAGTAGGTGTTTATTAATAATTAATACATTTTTAATAAAAGCTATAAATGTATCATTGCATATTAGCGTAATGTATTGATATAAATTGAGTGAATTATATTAACGGTTACATCGTACTACCTACTAAGTTGTCAATATAAAGCGGCCTGTTAGAATTGTTTCGCTTGTTACCTACATTCTTTTATTGTAACATCTTTTATTTCATTCTTTTATTGATTTAAACTGGTTTTCTGTATGCGAGAATATTGTGTTTATGGTACTTTGTATGCTCACTCTGGATTAAGTAATATTTAGGTACATTCTTGATTTGGTTGAAAATATAGTTGATTATTGATAATATAATAATAATTTTTATTATTATATTTTATTTGACCTTTATAAATACTCGTGAGTTATATCTTTATATTTTATTAAATATTTCTTTTGTTTGTGGTAATTAATATTTAAAATAAAGATGTCGAATCCTAATGATACGGTGAGAGCGTGTTTATTCAGTGAGACTGTTGAGTATCGTCAATCAATGGGTACTGTTCGATTAATCAGTGACTAGATTGCGGATGCTTATGCTTTGCTGCCTTCTGCGTCACGTGATAGGCTTATCGTGCGGCTTTCTGAACTGAATGAGAACTATGCTAAATTTAATGAAGCGTGTTCTTGTCTCCTTGGCGGTTTGGACCCGGTGATTGACACGAAGGAGTATAAAGATACCCTAACCTTATCTAAGTCAATGCGGCCTATGGTAGATGAGTTGCGGCTTAGGTTTAGTGAGTTGAAGCCTGAATTGTTCCATGACCCCCCTGCAAAGTCGAGTACTCCTAAGCGGCTTCCATTGATATCTTCCCCTCTAATGTGTATTAAAAATAAACGACCCGACTTACCTATTCCTACCTTTAATGGCCAAAGCGGATCCTATTTGAGCTTCGTCGACCAATTTGATAGTATTGTCGATTCCCAGCCTGACCTTAGCCCTACTAATAAGTTACAGTACCTTGTTTGTGCATTATCGGGTGAGCCTAAACGTCTACTATTACATTTACGTATTGAAGCAGAGAATTACCCTATCGCTCGTGATTTGTTAAAGCGGAGATATCATAATACGCGAATACTGGCGGATACATATATAACACAGATCCTTACCTTACCTAACATACCCCCTAAATTGAATGGATTACGTGCTTCGTTTCTCAACCCATTGTTAACAGCTTATCGTTGTTTGGAACGCTTAGAGTTACCTGTGACTAGTTGGTCATATATGCTAGTGCACATATGCCTTAATAAGTTGCCCCTGGAGTTAAAGGCTCGTTTTGAGCGGCGTTACGGTGGTGATAGTGATCGACTGCCCCAGTTTGATCATATCATCACTTTTTTAGAAGATGAGTGCCGCCACCATGGTAATGTAGGTGATGCAGCATTAGTAGATTCTGCCCCAACTTCCCGTACGTTTGAACGAAGACCTGAATACTCGCATAACCAGCAATCTAACCGCCCGCGTAGTGCCTACGTTTCCCAGGTACCAGTTTCCAATAAGAAGTGCCATATGTGTAATAGTGATTCCCATTATCTACGTGAATGTCCCCAATTTCGTGATATGAACCCACGTGACCGATCTTATTTTATTAAATCGTCTGGCCTGTGCTATCGATGTTTAGATAAACATTTGATAGCCAATTGCACACGTGATTACAGGTGTGCTGTCTATGCTCGGTCCTCCCATCACACCTTACTGTGTTTTAACAATTCTCGAGATCCTGTTTATCCTAACCATCAGAATCGTAATAATACAAATTATCGCAATGCTCTTGTGCATAATGCACCGCGTACATCACCGCGTATAACAGCCGTACTCTCTGTTGTGGTTCGTCATCACCTGCACGTCGAGCTTCTCCTCCTACATACTCACGACAAGATTATCGTCATACGTTCTCTCCCCCCGCGGTCACTTCCCGAGATAAAACATATCATAAATCAGGTGACCTCCCCGACCGTTCTATGCATACCAACCATAGACGGAACTCGTCCCAATAACTAGGCCCTGTATCCCCCCCTGCTTTCTCACCACATATGTCTATTCCCTCCAATTCCCTAGTCCTCCTACCTACCGCCATTATTCATGTCAAATCGGCTTATGGTTATTTTATAGAGGCCTGTGCGTTATGTGATACAGGCGCACAAGGTTGTCTGCTTACTACCGACTTAGCTGTTGAGAGATTGAATGTCCCCTTATCATCAAACTCAGTACCTATTCGCGGTATTGGCAACATTCAATCTGTATATTCTCGCGGTTCTATCTCCTTACCTTTAAACCAGTTCATAGATCGTATCCTGTGATAACAACCCCTGCAGTGGTTGTTGATGTAATTGCAGGCCCCCATCCTGAGATTGAGTTGCCTAGGCCTGTCGTTAATAGTATTAATCACCTTTCCGTAGCGGACCCCTCCTTTTATAAACCAGGGCCTATTGAGGTATTGTTAGGTGCCGACGTGTTCGGTTATCTTAAGCAACCTGAAAAATCGATTTCTCTTCCTCATGGTCTGACCGGCCTTTCAACCGTTTTTGGTTGTGTGTTGTCTGGACGTGTTGCTGGTAATTTCCCCGACCTTGAACCCCCTATGACTGGCATTTCTCTATCCCAGGTCGTAGAGAAATTTTGGAAAATTGAGGAACTGCCTCAAGTTCTCAATCCCAATCCTGAGGAGTTAGAGTGCGAACGTATTTTTAAGAATGGCATCACCCGTGAGAGTGACGGTCGTTTTATGGTCCGACTTCCGTTTATCTCTGATCGTCCCCAGCTTGGTGAATCCAAGTCTACAGCGGTTAAGTATTTCCTAAATTTAGAAAGACGTTTCAATGCCAACCCAGAGCTTCGTGAAAAATATATTATATTTATGCGTGAGTACATAGATCTTCACCATATGTCTCCCATTTCCTATAATCCATCATTACTTGAGCATTATTATATTCCCCATCAGGGAGTGTTTAAGGTCGACGACCACTCTAAAATTCGTGTTGTTTTTAATGGAAGTAGTCCAACCTCTAATGGTATTTCATTAAACCAGTGTTTACACACAGGTCCCAAGCTCCAACGAGATATCACTCATATCCTTCTTAATTTCCGTAGACATGCTGTGGTCTTTGTGACAGACATAAAAATGATGTTCCGGGTGACCTGGGTGCACCCCAATGATCGTCAGTATCAGTTAATCTTGTGGCGTGAATCCCCATCTGCACCTCTTGTTACGTACGAGTTAGCTACAAATACTTACGGCCTACGGTTTAGTCCCTACATTTCCATTCGTACCCTTTTAGAGCTTGCTGAACGTGAGCGCTCATCATACCCACAAGCAGCTGCTGTTCTGGAAAATGATATTTATGTTGATGACTGCCTAACCGGAGCGAGTTCACTCGGTGAAGCTCAAATATTAAAAACAGAACTTCAGTCCCTAATAGCCTGTGGTGGTTATGAGCTGAGAAAATGGATCAGTAATGAACCCGAATTGCTCAAAGACATACCCCTCGAACATCTACAGGGTCCATATGAATTTCATGACCCAGATAACCCACCAACCATTCCTGTACTTGGTATTCAGTATAATCCGACTGCAGATTCCTTTACATGCAGTTTTTCCTTTAAGCTTCAGAAGTCCCTAACCAAGCGTACAGTTCTCTCCCTCATCGCTCATATTTATGATCCATGTGGATGGATATCTCCAGTTGTATTTAAAGCCAAAGCGTTTATACAACGTCTATGGATGTCGGGCCTCAACTGGGATGATCCTCTTAACCAATCCCTTTCTGATGATTGGTTATTATTTGTACAAGACCTGGAGAATATCAAACAGCTGAGCATTCCTCGTCGGATATTGCCTGCGGATGCCACTTCCATTTCCTTACACGGCTTTTGTGATGCTTCTGAGGCTGGTTATGCAGCTGTTGTATACCTTAGGACTGAATCCTCTTCTGGCCATTGCTCCGTCCATCTCCTGATTTCTAAGAGTAAGATTGCTCCTATCCTTACTCGTCTCACAATTCCCAAGTTGGAATTGCAAGGAGCTGTGCTCCTCACAAAATAAAATTAATTCATCACGTTACCATCTGTCTACAGAAGGTAATCGTGTTGGATGCTATCCACAGTTGGACGGACAGCAAAATTGTGCTGGCATGGATAAAGACTCCTCCTCACCCGATTCATACATTCGTAGCAAACCGCGTGTCTCAATTCACCTCATCCGATTTCCCTTCCGAGTGGCATCATGTTTCTGGTTCTATTAACCCTAGCGATTGCGCTTCCCGAGGTCTTAGCGCATCGTCTCTTCTTAACC